ATTTCACATAACTGGGAATACAGACATGCATCTGTTGGTATAACTTTTTTTAAAAGTAGGGGTGTGGATCAGAAATCCAGTCAGTATCTGGTGTGATAACCATTTGCCTCATGTAGCGCGACACATCTCCTTCGCATAGATTTGATCAGGCTGTTGATTGTGGCTTGTGGAATGTTGTCCCACTTCTCTTCAATGGCTGTGAGAAGTTTCTGGATATTGGCGGGAACTGGAACACGCTGTCGTACACGTCGATCCAGAACATCCCAAACATGTTAAATGGGTGACATGTCTAGTGAGTATGCAGGCCATAGAAGAACTGGGACATCTTCAGCTTCCAGGAATTGTGTACAGAACCTTGCATCATGGGGCCGTGCATTATCATGCTGAAACATGAGGTGATGGCAGCGGATGTATGGCACGACAATGGGCCTCAGGATCTCGTCACGGTATCTCTGTGCATTCAAATTGCCATCGATAAAATGCAATTGTGTTCATTGTCCGTAGCTTATGCCTGCCCATACCATAACCCCACTGCACCATGGGGCACTCTGTTCACAACGTTGATATCAGCAAACCGCTCACCCACACTCTGCCATCTGCTCGGTACAGTTGAAACTGTGATTCATCTGTGAAGAGCACACTTCTCCAGCATGCCAGTGGCCATCGAAGGTGAGCATTTGCCGACTGAAGTCGGTTACGACGCCTAACTGCAATCAGGTCAAGGCCCTGGTGAGGACAATGAGCACACAGATAAGCTTCCCTGAGATGGTTTCTGACAGTCTGTGCAGAAATTCTTTCATTGTGCAAAACCACAGTTACATCAGCTGTCCAGGTGGCTCGTCTCAGACCATCCTGCAAGTGAAGAAGCCAGATGTGGAAGTCCTGGGCTGGAGTGGTTATACGTGATCTGCGGTTGTGAGGCCGGTTGGACATACTGCCAAATTATCTACAACGACGTTGGAGGCAGCTTATGGTAGAGAAATTAACATTACATTCTCTGGCAACAGCTCTGGTGGACATTCCTGCGGTCAGTATGCCAATTGCACACTCCCTCAAAACCTGAGACATCTGTGGCATTGTGGTGTGTGACAAAACTGCACATTTTATAGTGGCCTTTTATTGTCTCCAGCACAAGGTGCACCTGTGGAATGATCATGCTGTTTAATCAGCTTCTTGATATGCCACACTTGTCAGGTGGATGGATTATCTTGGCAAAGGAGACATGCTCACTAACAGGGATGTAAACAAATTTGTGCACAAAATTTGAGAGTTATAAGCTTTTTCTGTGTATGGAACATTTCTGGGGTCTTTTATTTCAGCTCATGAAACATGGGACCAACACTTTACATGTTGCGTTTATATTTTTGTTCAGTATAATAAACGGAGTAGCAGCAGTGTATGTAAAGAGTGTGAAATTGTTTATTTGTGTGAGTGTGTGTATGTAGCGGCAATATGCATGTGTGGGTGTGTTTTGTGTGTGTGAGTCAGTGTATATAGTGTGTGTGTATGTGTGTGTTGGAGTGCGCAAGACAGTATAGAATAAGGCTGTAACGTAACAAAATGTGGAAAAAGTCATGTGGTCTGAATACTTTCCGAATGCACTGTATGCCTAACAACAGCAAGTTACAATGTTTACATTTGTTTATGCTCTCTGTGTGAACTTTAGTTGGAGTCTTCTGTCGCCATGACTATGAGAGGCTAGCTTGACTGGAGCTAATGTTAACTTACGTTAGCTTCTAGCTTCTATCTTTATAAATTAATTAAACTATCAAAACAACATTGTAAAAAATTACAATAATATTATATCGCTCCACTTAACTTGGTGTTTCATATCCTATGCTTTATAACTTGCTCACTGTAAAGATAAGGTTTAAAATAATCTGTTTTATCTGGTGCTTCTCTCTTCAGTTTTCAGTTGTCTCTCTCATTCAACTGACTCCTTAGGCATGTTCACACTGCACCTTAGTCCAGGGCTAAGAGCCTCCTAAGCGAGTGTTCACACTTACACATTCTAAAGTGGGCTAGCACCAACCTTAGGCTAGCCGGCCCTGCTCCGGAGCAGGGTTAGCACTGACTTTACAGGGTTAGTCCCATAAACACAGTACCAAAATAGCCAGTGTGAAACGGGGTCAAGAACAACTTCTAGAATGCTCACTGTCCAATCACAAAAGGAGCAATTTCCCTTAATTGACGTAATAGTATGAATTTACTTAGTAAATTCATACTATTTAATCCTTCCATCTGAGGACAACAAACGAAATAGCTAAATCCGTGCAAAAAACATTAGGCTACCATACTGTATATCTCACATTCTCCCACATTTCTGGTTGGCAACACAGGGAACCCAAACATGTGCAAAAAACAATCCTATTAATACAGTAAGTATTACCCCTTTTGACAGCAACTATTTCCCCTTTTCATTGATTTTACATACAAACTAGGATCGACAATAGTAGCCTATTGCCTCTTATCAGAAACTTGCCTATGCTGGTATATAAATGCATAATACCAACCGACCTCTTTTGACCTTGGTGGGTTTATTTATTTAATGCATTATACTGCCATTGTACCATGGTAACCACAATTAATAAAGATGGTACCATATAATCATTTTTGGTACCATTTATCATAGTTGTGCGTTACCATGGTAGAATGTAGAATGGTATTTCCATGATCCACATCTATACCATGGTATAAATTATGCAATACAATGGTATTATTTAGGTGCATGGCAGTACCATCATACTTCAGAGCTAAAAACATGGTACATTTCCATGATTCAGATCTATGCATGGTATAAATGATGCAATACCATGGTAATATTTAGGTACATTGGCAGTACCATGGTAGTACCATCATACTTCAAAGATAAAAACATGGTACATTTCCATGATTCAGACTATACCATGGTACAGTGGGGGAAAAAAGTATTTAGTCAGCCACCAATTGTGCAAGTTCTCCCACTTAAAAAGATGAGAGAGGCCTGTAATTTTCATCATAGGTACACGTCAACTATGACAGACAAATTGAGAAAAAACAAAACAGAAAATCACATTGTAGGATTTTTTATGAATTTATTTGCAAATTATGGTGGAAATAAGTATTTGGTCACCTACAAACAAGCAAGATTTCTGGCTCTCACAGACCTGTAACTTCTTCTTTAAGAGGCTCCTCTGTCCTCCACTCGTTACCTGTATTAATTTCACCTGTTTGAACTTGTTATCAGTATAAAAGACACCTGTCCACAACCTCAAACAGTCACACTCCAAACTCCACTATGGCCAAGACCAAAGAGCTGTCAAAGGACACCAGAAACAAAATTGTAGACCTGCACCAGGCTGGGAAGACTGAATCTGCAATAGGTAAGCAGCTTGGTTTGAAGAAATCAACTGTGGGAGCAATTATTAGGAAATGGAAGACATACAAGACCACTGATAATCTCCCTCGATCTGGGGCTCCACGCAAGATCTCACCCCGTGGGGGCAAAATGATCACAAGAACGGTGAGCAAAAATCCCAGAACCACACGGGGGGACCTAGTGAATGACCTGCAGAGAGCTGGGACCAAAGTAACAAAGCCTACCATCAGTAACACACTACGCCGCCAGGGACTCAAATCCTGCAGTGCCAGACGTGTCCCCCTGATTAAGCCAGTACATGTCCAGGCCCGTCTGAAGTTTGCTAGAGTGCATTTGGATGATCCAGAAGAGGATTGGGAGAATGTCATATGGTCAGATGAAACCAAAATAGAACTTTTTGGTAAAAACTCAACTCGTCGTGTTTGGAGGACAAAGAATGCTGAGTTGCATCCAAAGAACACCATACCTACTGTGAAGCATGGGGGTGGAAACATCATGCTTTGGGGATGTTTTTCTGCAAAGGGACCAGGACGACTGATCCGTGTAAAGGAAATAATGAATGGGGCCATGTATCGTCAGATTTTGAGTGAAAACCTCCTTCCATCAGCAAGGGCATTGAAGATGAAACATGGCTGGGTCTTTCAGCATGACAATGATCCCAAACACACCGCCCGGGCAACGAAGGAGTGGCTTCGTAAGAAGCATTTCAAGGTCCTGGAGTGGCCTAGCCAGTCTCCAGATCTCAACCCCATAGAAAATCTTTGGAGGGAGTTGAAAGTCCGTGTTGCCCAGCGACAGCCCCAAAACATCACTGCTCTAGAGGAGATCTGCATGGAGGAATGGGCCAAAATACCAGCAACAGTGTGTGAAAACCTTGTGAAGACTTACAGAAAACGTTTGACCTGTGTCATTACAAACAAAGGGTATATAACAAAGTATTGAGAAACTTTTGTTATTGACCAAATACTTATTTTCCACCATAATTTGCAAATAAATTCATAAAAAATCCTACAATGTGATTTTCTGGATTTTTTTCCCTAATTTTGTCTGTCATAGTTGACGTGTACCTATAATGAAAATTACAGGCCTCTCTCATCTTTTTAAGTGGGAGAACTTGCACAATTGGTGGCTGACTAAATACTTTTTTTCCCCACTGTGTATGTGAAAGTACCATAGTAGTACCATGGTATAAATACAAGTACCATAGTAGTACCATGGCACATTTTTGTAAGGGCAGCTCAGAAATGGGATTCCTGTGTAAACACAGCCAATGTATGCAGGAAGTGTTTGAAACAGGTCATATTTTAGGTGTTGAAGTGAAAGGTTTACTGTGTAAATAAAGTCACCACACAGTCATTAACAGAGAGGGAGACTCGCTGTTCAGGTTTATTGTGGCATTTAGTTGGATGTATTTACAGAAATGCAGTATAAACACAAACATACAAGTGTCCCCAAATGGTCTGTATCCAGTAGAAACACAAGAAGAGAGACAGAAGAGTATCTATGGGATCTGTGTCAATGAAATGCCTTCTCTCTTTCTGCTCTAGATACAGTATCTGAGGGAGCAGACTGAGAGGACCACACCCAGTGTACACACACCACACGAGCCAAACAGACTTCTGAGATAACTGCTGCTTAGAGCATGGAGCCGGCCCAATCAGAGATGAGCATCTTGGGATGCTCGCCCAATGGGAAAGGTCACGACCTAGGAGATGACACATATGTGCCTATGAAGACCATGCCAGAGGAATTAGACACGTGAGTTTCCTTTTCCTGGACTTATACATTATTGTCACATTATTGTATTTTTCAACAACCACAACTAATCAGAATCAAGGCTTTGCATATTGTGAAGAACATTTTACTTTGTGAAGAAACAGTCTTGAAAATGTTCATCTTGTCTTTGGTGTCATAATCAATCCTTGGTTCCTGCCTGTGCCTGGTAAAGATATGACGAGGGGCCGTCATGACCTCCTCCTTAGGACCATCTGGCAGAACACCCAGAATATGTTCTTTAAGTTAAGATAGGAGACGGTGCCAGACACATGCCGGAACCAACCTTATGAACTATGCCTATGTAACGTGTCTGTAACCAGTATATAAGCGATCGAACAGGACTGCCCCGTTAGAGCTCCTGATCGACATGTATACTTGGTGTATTGAGTTGGTTGGAACCTCTCCAGCATGCTGATAATAAAGAATGATTCATTTAAGATTGACTTCGAGTGTCCCTGTGTAAGAATTTCCCCGACAATATCAATCTGAAAAGCAACTGAAAAGTTACATACACTCACCTGGTTGTCTTTGTGACTCTATATCACAGAAACAATACAATGCATATTTCATTCCAATTGTTTTTGAACGGATGCTTTGATATTATTATTGCATAAGGGGGGTGACATTTAGCCCACTGCATGCAGTGTTGTGCCCAGCTCATAGACTGGAGAGAGTAATGGGTTTGTGCTGTGTTAAACTGTGAATGTGTCATGTGTTTTTGTCGTTTACCTTCCAGTATGGAAACCAAAACCCATTTAACAGCCTGTAAATGTCACCTGTGTGTTTCTAAAATACAGTAGCTTTTATTCATCAGGGTTGAAACTCCTTTTCAATTCAATCAATTCTGGAAATAAACTGAAATTGTAATTCCAATCCTGAATTCATCCACATGATTGTGTCCAAAAGCGGGTAGTTTACCCTCTAATACAGACACCATTTTATAGACAGAACTCTTAAAACCCTATTTCTATTTCCACCATGCAAATTGTGTTTTGCTCGCCCAGTCCTCCTTGCTAAGTGTATGACATCAGTACTGAGTATGAATTGTTTATATGCCATGAATGACGTCTGAGCAGACAATATAACTGATTGCCTGAGTGGTGTTTGTGTTTCTAAGTGCATGTTTGCCTTGTTTTTGTCCCGCCGTCACCCATGGATCCTCTGTTTGCCACACAGAAATGGTACTCAAAATGTCAGGTATGTTTATACTTCGATATACAGTCACACAGACACAGTCTCTATATAGTAGGCTTACTGACTATGTAACATCATTACTCACAAACTATCCTTTAAGTGAAGCATGTTGACACTGTTTTGACAAGAAACCTCCTTCTATCTGTGTAGCTTGTGTCCCTCATTTTAAGGTGCAGGTTTTAGAGACTATCAATTGTAATGTCCGTTTCTGTTTCGTCCAGGTTTGATGAACCTGATGGCATCCTGGAGAGTGAGGAGTTTCTGCCCAACGGAGATGGGAAGAAGCCCATGCGCTTCACAGATGTTAGTGTGACTGACTTTATTATCTCCATAACTCAAACATTACTCACTGTCTGTTTTCCAAATGGCACCCTATTCCCTATGTGACGAGTTGACATGGCCACAGTTGTAATCTATTTCTTGTTATGATGGATGTAGCTACATATATAATCGCATAATCCTCATAGCCTACATGTCTTTTTTCTTTGTTAAAGCACATAGATGGGTATGAAACGGTAAGCAAAAACATTGAATTTGGTCATATGCAGAAATGTGCTTTTCTGCCTTTTTAATTTTGTGTAACGTCAGTAGTCTTGTCAAGGAAGCATCATGTAAAATATATTGGCCACACTCCACTTACCAAGACCATTGCCAAATGAGGCGTGCTGTCACCTGCTTTTACAGTAAGCCTTGAGGTGGTGTAGTGAGCCTACAGTGGTACCGCCCAGCACATCTAGAAGGGAATGTATTTCATACCAAACTCCTCCCTTGGGATAACATAGAGGCACTTTCTCAAGGTGCCTCTACATCATGATTTCAATGGTAGAGTTGAACCGCTAGGGCCCTCAAACTCAACTCAGGACATCGAAGGCAGTTCCACTGCTTTTTTTCATTGTTTCCCTCTAATCAGGGACTGATTTAGACCTGGGACACCAGGTGGGTGCAATTAATTATCAGGTAGAACAGAAAACCAGCAGACTCCGGACCTCATAGGGCAAGAGTTGAATACCCCTGCGCTAGGGCCAATAAGAGCTAGATGAACTACTAAAATACCCAAATATGTAACTTTTGTAACGAACCGTCAAAATGAAGACAATAATTGATGTGTTTCACTAAAACTAAGCCTAAAACATCTGGTTTTCGATTATTTTTTATTTATTTATTTTTTACATGAAAATTACTCTTTAAAGGGTTATTCGTCTGTGCCCATAGGATAACCCTTTGAAGAACCCTTGTTGGTTCCATGTAGTACCCTTTCTACAGAAGGTTCTACATGGAAACCAAAAGTGTTCTACCTGAACCTAAAAGGTTTCTACCTGGAACCCAAAAGGGTTCTCCTATGGGGACAGTCGAAGAACCCTTTTGGAACCCTTTTTTCTAAGAGTGTACCCAGCTAGTATATTTGGTTCCTTGGAAGTTGTAGGAACGTAACTGTTTGGTTTCCCATTGGTTCTGGGAACGAAGCAATACGTTTCCTGACCAGTAAAACAGAAAATGTATTCAACGTTCTTGAACTCCAAGCACAGATAGAACACATGGAAATGAATTTGCTTAGGCATTAGTCATGCAAACACATTTATTTTTTCTTGTGGCATGGCATCAGAGATATTCGGTTGTCTATCCATGGAATTAGTCCACTGCACCACCAAGTAGGAATGGCCGGCAGGGATGTAGCTCAGTTGATAGAGCATGGCGTTTGCAACGCCAGGGTTGTGGGTTTGATTCCCACAGGGGGTATGATAAGAGCGTCTGCTAAATGACTAAAATGTAAAATGTAAATGTAAGATGGAGCTAGCATACCATGTTGGTGGTTTTTAAACTCGTACAAAGCTGTTAATTTTAGTCTATTCAAACAGACCCCATGTCAAAGGAAACAAGTATTAATTAACATTAGGTGTGGCCAATTAGTGGGCGGGGCCAATATACTTGAACACAGTTTTGTTGAAGCTGAGATTGGAATGTATTTGTTTTTCAATAACATTCTTAGAATGTTCTTTGCACATTACTAATGTTTTATTGTGGTTTTTATGGAAAGTTTTCTTAATGTTCTGAGAACATGACTTTAAATAGAGCCATGAGAAAACCTCAGAAAGCGTTATGCTGAAGTACTGAAATTCTCACAGGAGAACGTTGTTTCTTAACGTTCTCTGAACTATTAGAGAATATTCCCAATGTCAAACCAGTTGTAGAACGTTCCTAGAACATTATCAAAAATGTAGTTAAATGTAACCATGTTTGAACATTTAGGAATAGTTCTGTTAAAGTAATGAAATACCAAGATGAATAATGTTATTTTTGTCAAGTTCCTTAAATGTGCTGAGAATGTTCCAAGGCCAAGCAACTATCTGCACCAATCCCAGAACATTCTTGAAAGGTTGTATGTAAAATAACCATAGGACAACCACACTCTCACCAAGCTCTAAGAAACGTATGGTTATCAGAATATTATGTGCTAGCTGGGTAGGGAATAGGGTGCCAATAGGATTCCATTTGGGATGCAGACACTAAATCATTGCATGCTAATGACACATTTGGCCTGTCACGTTGCACTTGACAAGAACATTTTTAATGTGAGAAGAGCTTTTCAGCTATACATAATTGTTGAATTAACTAAATTTGAGATTGTTGTATTTTTTTGATCAGTTTGAGGGAAAGACATCTTTCGGCATGTCTGTGTTCAACCTGGGGAATGCTATCATGGGCAGTGGAATCCTGGGACTGGCTTATGCCATGGCTAACACTGGCATCCTCCTCTTCCTGTAAGTCAAACTGTCAGCTTTCTACATGTCTCTACATGTCTGTAATAATGACTGTAAGTCGCTCCGGATAAGAACGTCTGTTAAAGGACCAAAATGTCAAATCCTGCCGATGCTTCTTAACGGTCTCCTAGTCTCTCCATTCCCCACTTGGTTTAGTGTTTTTGTCCTTCCTCTTCTCATAAAACCCTGAAACCGCAAAACGACACACTGACTTTCAAATCACTGACACATTGAGCACAGACACAGTAGGAGTCACTCATTAGCTATTGGTTTGTCTCTGTTGATAGTAGCACTGCCAGCTTGTTGTGATATGATATCCCTTTGCCTAACCAGAGAGCCTGTAGAGAACGTGCTCCTCAGTCACAGTTATAGCCTTTAGGCTGTACATAGAGTCAATACAGTGGAAAGGGCCAGGGTGTGGGTTGAAAATAGCCACGACCTTCGCTTGTAGGAGGGAGCTGGGACAGCCAGGAATGCTATTTGCCCAGAACCCCAGCCTGCCTGCCTCAAGAAGGGTGCTGTGCCTGGGTGGGGTGATAAGGGGCCAGGGTGGGGCTGGAGGCAGGGTAAGGGTCTGTGGTGACGTGACACTTCTCATGGCATGATCCACACTATCCCCTCCCTCCCATCTTCCCCCATTCTCCAACCGTTGTCCCCGCCCCTGTGGACACATGCAGGCCCCAGAAAGGCCACAGCCCAGAATAGCCCCGCCTGCCAGTCCCCACGCCACTGGCCCCCTCTGTAGCGTTGGACATGTCCTCCACTCTCCTCCCTCTGTCCCTCCTCCCTCTGCCCCCCGTCCGTCTCATGGAAACATACAGGTTCTCATGGAAACATACAGCTCCCATTTATCGCTTTTGTGACTTCAGGTTATAGAACAGGAGAGCTTGGGTTCAAAAGGTTTAGAAAGATATATTTGTTTGGACTTTGAGAAGCAGGAATCAATTCACATGGATTTGTTTGACTGTGTAATCTGCCCCATGGATGTTTCTTTCCATCTAAGTACAGTATTATCGACTTTGGACTCAAAATAATTGTCTTCTGGTAAAAGTAAGCCGATAAGTCTAGAGTCCTGTAGCAAGCAAAATGTGATCAAATTCCAAGTCCTTGTTCCAAGTCCTATCTTTTCCCATGGAAAAGCAGATCATGTTATATTGAGCAACTATATTGGAGATTTGTTGCATTGTGGGTGTGACTGACACGCAGCCTTCTTTGTCTCTCAAGGGTAACATACTGTAAAAAAAACAGGATTTCTCAAGGGAGACCTAAATAGATGTTCTCTGCCTCCCTCAGCATATTATCACACCATAGCAGTTCCAATGGGACGTGGGGAGAGCCCTGAAAATGGCATTTAAACACGAGACCTGTGAACTCAGATTCCACGCTCACAACATGACATTTCCTGGACAATGAACCAAACCAACCATTAAGCAACTCATAGTGGCTCTCGTGACTCCTGCACTCTAAAAAATGCTGGTTTAAAAAGCAACCCAGCACTGGGTAAATAGTGGGCGGAACACACGTTGGGTTATTTTTGACCCAGCAGTTGGGTTATTGAGCTATGATCAGATGGGCATGTATTTTAAAATTTTATTTTTTATTATTTTTAATTTTATTTTTTTAGTCATTTAGCAGACACTCTTATCCAGAGCGACTTATTTAAAATTCATATTTTAATTACTTCTGAGTATTTTATATTACATGTGCTGAACTACACTCCAATGTATTTTGTGACAAGATACTTTCGAAAGCTGTAATTTGTATTTTCAAAATTCTATACAATTTCTTTACTGTGGTTCACAATTTTGTGGCCCCCTTTCAACCTCATTTGGTATCAAAAGTCTGATGGCACTATGGTGTGATAATAGCGTCTGCTAAATAAACTAAATGTAAATGTATATCTAAAAATAAACAATTGCAAAGCATACCAATGGATTATTCCAATGAGTTCTGCCCCTAAACAAGGCTAATGACAATACCCAGTGTGCTTTGCAGTTGTTCATTTTCACATATACATTTTGGCCATTTAGCACAGGGTTTCCCAAACTTGGTCCTTTAGGGTATTTTGTAGTTGTAATTTATAATTTATGCCCATCTCTGGCTATTACCCACCGGGTCAGATCAGAAGACTGGAGGCATGGCTTAGTAGGGGTGTGGCGTTCAGCTAGTTATTTTCAGCCACCCGTGAGAATAAATGTCATTCAGGTTAATCTTCTCTGTTGTATTGTCAACACAATTGAGTACTGACACTTTTGTAGCTTTAATGAGGCTTACACAAGGGTTTGAGTTCCTCAAGTGTCTATGTGTATCCCAATGTTGGTATAGGTACCACTGTGTTATAATGTTTAAATAATAATGTTATTAATTTTATATAAAAGGTGAATTTATTACAAGTAAACATTTCAAATCAATTTGGTTAAAATTCTAAACAACAAGCAACAAATCCAATGTAACCTAAGCAAATAAAAATAAAAACAAACAAGAAAAAACTAAAAAAACTATGCATTCAATAAATAAAACAGGTAGCGATAATCAGTCCATCAATTAGTTAGTCAGTCAGTCTGTTGGAGTGGTTGACGGTGTGTTGACGGAAGCGATGGGGACTGGGCTCGCAGGTTGGTGGGTTTGGGATTTGGGTTAGTGTGGTTGGTGGCGTTGGCCCTAGCCCTGCCGGCGTAGGAACTGGGGCAGGTTCTGAAGAAGTGGCCCCTTTTGCCGCACAGGTTGCAGGGGCGTGTGGAGGTACAGTCTGAGGTTGGATGGTTGTCATTACAGATCTTGCAGATGATGGTTACTGCAGGCTGCGGCCATATGGCCGCAGTTCCTGCACAGTTTGGGCATGCCGTAGTAGTGGACGGAGCATAGCCTCTGTTCTTTCCCAGCGTGATGGTGCTAGGGAGGTTTTGGACTCCGCCCACTCCAGTTGGGTCCGGTTTTAACAGGACCAGCCATTTTCGTGCCCCAGTCCAGACGTGGTCTTTGTCCAGGACCCTCCTAGCTGCTGACTTGAGGGTGGCGAACCTGCTTAACCAAACTTCTAATGTCCTAGTTCTGGATGCATTCCTTGCTAAACTATACTGTAACTACCTTGGATTCTGTGTCAGAAAGGGGGTATGCTCAGAGTTTGTTACACAGGTTTGAATCTTTGCACTTTCTGAATTTTGACCCAAACTGTTCTAGAAACTGGGGGCCTTGAAACTAGCTTCAAATGATTCCTGTGGCCCTGGGTGTTTCACCAGGCAGTTCAGGTTAGACAGCACAAAGCCCATACCGCTCTGGAGAAATGGCTGGGTAAAGATAACTCAATGTGTGTTCTGTCCAATATTTACCCAATTTGGGTTGTTTTTAACACAGCATTTTTTAGCGTGTTGAGTGGTCAGTGGAATGTCAGGACTCAACCTCTGTGCCCACACTGTGGCCAGATGCTAGGATCCTCACCTCTACTGTGGTTAGTAGTCAAGGGGCCTCCATCTGGCCGTAGGGGCCGACTCTGAGGTCTGGGAAAGGTGATGGCACTGGGAGCGCCCTCTGACCATCTAGGAATGCTGACTGGGGAATGCTCGGCCGCTCGGCTCCCTTCCTCAGGGGTCAGTGCTTCTGTAGGCGGACTGCGGCTCCTCTCTGGTCTCCCTTTTGTCACAGGGGTCTAAGAGGGAGATGGGTTGTGGGAAACAATCTTTCTCAGATTACATAGAGCCAGGATTGCTGGAAGGAGAGTTATGTCCTTTGTTATACCCCCTCCCCCCCACACACAAACACACACACACAGACACACACCTCGTTCCTGAGTTCTGACTCCAACATGATTTTCTCCGACTGTTGGCAACATCATACATTATTAGCATTTTCATAACATTTAGAGTCTGCTGAGAAAGCGCTTGCCTTTATTAACTGTCTGGGCTTGAGCCCTGAGATCACATGGCTACAGTTGGACATTACAGTTGGTAGTTAGCAAGCCAGAGTCTGCTTTGTTCTAGCTAGCGTACTTCACTATCCCTTCATGATACAATTAATGCCTTTTAAGTGAAACCTTAAAATGTTTCTTTTTGGAATTATACGGAGCCAGTTGTAATCTCAAACTGTAATTTATTTTGGTTTTATTGGCTAAAAGTCAAGCCACTAAATGCAGGGCTTGTCATAGAAATGTGTGTACGTTTTTGTGTGTGTGTGTGTGTGTGTACTATTCTTACATATTGATAGAGAGGAGCTGAGGAGTTCACTACTACAGTTCGTTGTGAGCTTGTTAGTTGCTATGCTCAGCTAACCACCTTTTATTGCGTTGAAATTATGCAATAACATGTTTTATCATGTACCTTCTTTCCCTCCTTCCCCCAGGTTTCTTCTGACTGCTGTGGCGGCCCTCTCCTGCTATTCTATTCACCTGCTGCTCAAATCCTCTGGCATTGTGGGTAAGCTGGCCCTCATCTTCATTTGACCTCATGCAACAATAGTGCATGCGTAGCTATGTGTAGTTCTACATGCACATCATAGTTTGATCCAGTGGCAACACTCTAAGCCATAGGGATGGGTCACACTATTGCTGAAGCATTGAGAGGAGATGATGGTACTACATATTGAGGGCTGTTGCAGTGTCATGTCGCAGGGATTGGGCCAGATGGAGAAAAAACTGATGGCTTGCATAGTTGCCGCATTAGTGTTAGCATTAGCATGCCCTGATTAATTTCCATCTTGTATAGATTAGCTTGGTAACATGGTATTTCCCTGTAACCCTGTAATGTATAGTTCCCCAATGGCCCAGCATTAAGGATGTTGACAAAACCGTATATATTACATTTACATTTACATTTACGTCATTTAGCAGACGCTCTTATCCAGAGCGACTTACACATTGGTGCATTCAACTTATTGTTTTTCATATTCAGCAATATGGGCCTAGCATGGAAATAGAGGCCTGGCATGATAAACCGGTAAATGAACCTGGAAATTCTACACTGACTATCTAACTAAGTGTTGTTTGAGGTACTACCTGGGTGTCCCCCTGTAAAGCTGTGTAATGATGATGTTGCGCAACCCACTTCCTCTCCCAGGAATCCGAGCCTATGAACAGTTGGGCTACAGGGCCTTTGGCACCCCAGGCAAGATGGCCGCCGGTATTGCCATCACACTGCAGAACATCGGAGGTGAGAAGTCACTGTGGTCACTGGTCTAGTGTCCCACAACAACACACATCTCTGTGTGTTTGTAGAGGCTATGGTGTTATGATAAATCACAAAGCTCAGCAGCAGACATGCAGACTGTCTGGTCTTCCTGGCCGGGCGATTCACCTAAAACTGTTCACTTGGAGTAGAGCCTTTCACATTACCCACCCATACTCCAGTCTATATTCACATAGTGATAATACAGCCCTAACTTAACCCTTATGGTTTCAATATGCTTGTCTGGGAAACATGACAGTAGACATTTGAGTAAAATATATATATTTGTCTGTCTGTCTGTCTCCCTCTCTCTCCCTCTCTCTCGTCTCTCTGTATGATATGGGGGAGTATTAGGAGCTAAGGCCAGCCGTCCAGTTGGCAAACAGCTGCTGCCGTGGATGTGGTGGTGTTTTGGCATTGGTTAGACTTCCCTCGCACTGCTAACTACCACTGCACAGTGCAGTGGCTGCCTGCCTGCCTGCGTGCGTGCTTGGGCAAATCCCTAGCTGTGACTAAGACACAGCAGTCAGAAGCCATGTTACCAATGTGGGGAAACTTACATTTACTTTGAGACCTGGTGGATAGATTTATATTGTTGTAAATTTAGTTACAACTAATGCCTTTAGAAACTCACTTTCCACACTATGTATTATTTTCTAGATACAGTGCATTTGGAAAGTATTCAGACCCCTTGACTTTTTCAAAATTTTGTTACGTTACAGCCTTATTCTAAAATTGATTAAATTATTTTTTTCTCATCAATCTATACACAATACCCCATAAAGACAAAGTGAAAACAGTTTTTATTTTATTTTTGCAAATGTATTACAAATAAAAAACAGAAATACCTCATTTATATAAGTATTCAGACCCTTTGCAATGGGACTCAAAATTGAGCTCAGGTGCATACTGTTTCCATTGATCATCCTTGAGATGCTTCTACAACTTGATTGGCGTCTACCTGTTGTAAATTCAATTGATTGGACATGATTTGGAAAGGCACACACCTGTCTATATAAGTTCCCACAGTTGACAGTGCATGTCAGAACAAAAACCAAGCCATGAGGTCGAAGAGCTGCGACACAGGATTGTGTTGAGGCACAGATCTGGGGAAGGTTACCAAAACATTTCTGCAGCATTGAAGGTTCCCAAGAACACAGTGGCCTCCATCATTCTTAAATGGAATACGTTTAGAACCACCAAGACTCTTCCTAGAGTCTGGCCAAACTCAGTGGAGAAGGGCCTTGGTCAGGGAGGTGACCGAGAACCCGATGATCAGTCTTAAAGAGCTCCAGAGTTCCTCTGTGGAGATGGGAGAACCTTCTAGAAGGACATCCATCTCTGCCGCACTCCACCAATCAGGCCTTTATGGTAGTGGCCAGAAGGAAGCCACTCCTCAGTAAAATGCACATGACAGCCCACTTGGAGTTTGCCAAATGGCACCTAAAGGACTCTCATTCCCTGGTCTGATGAAACTAAGATTGAATTATTAGGCCTGAAATGCCTTTATACGCAAATATTGATATAATAACCATCATATCAAAGTAAACTTGGAGTCACGAGATGACATGTTGTGTGGTCCTCCCACTACAACTTGGGAAAGAATGCAGTTTATTAGGGTACAGATGAAATAAGTTATGATGAACTTCACAGGGTGGTGAAAGTGCACACGGTGATTGATGCTCCTTTCCAATAAATATCGAGGATCTTATTCTGGAGACATGATGATCGATGCTTGGCTGCCGTTTGTCAAATAAAAATATTATTGCTCTTTTGTCCATTATAGTCTCACCATGTAGGCTATCCTACTCGTACTGTATCTGTGAGCTGTTGGGTAGGGCGCTCGCGCCAAGACCAGAGTGGGCACATACGCAATGTAACGCAACCATTTTTTGGACCAAACCATCAGTAGAGTTGGTTTGCAATGGAAACCCATTTAAATTGTACACTTTATTTGGTACATGGGAATTTAACCGCAGAAGTTATTTTTATGTGCAATATGTCACCACGCACAGCCTTTTATCCCCAACAAGTCAATTTGATGGGAAAATGTGCATATTTAATGCTGATTTTAGAATATTCGCATGAACATCTTTTGCCAGTTGATTGGAAACCTAGCTACTGATTGTGTCACTCATAGTTCTGTCTGTCTCTATTCCGTCACAGCCATGTCCAGCTACCTGTACATCGTCAAGTCTGAGTTCCCATTGGTCATCCAGGCCTTCAGTAGGGCGGACCCCACCGATGAGTGAGTACTCTCATTGGTCTATCCACTTGATCTACCTGAACATTTCTCTACATTCCAGGGCTACGTTTAGTAGGCAAATGTTTGCACATAGAAAATGCATGAGTAGAGTGGATGTGAGTGCTTATTCTACATGTCAGAGGCATGTTTGTTCTATAACCACTGCCTAGAGACTGCCCTTTCTGCCTGTGTAGCTTTAACTGGTAGCTGAGCTTGTACCACTACCCTGGCTCACCTGGCATGGGCTGTGGGCTGGCGTCCTCAGAGGTTGGTGCAGAGCACAGTGGGCTGGTATTCCAGGTGAGGGATAGGGCAGGGGCGTGAGTCTGCAATTGTCTAGACAGAACAGAGGGGATTTTCAGGAATGGCTAGCACACGCCTCTTCTCCAGGCCCAACCCCCAGGTTGAGGTGACAACTGCTCCAAACAGCAGTATTGTGGTGGTGATGGGTATGTTGGGCACAACAGTGGTCCTTGGCGGTATGAAGTGGATTCCTGCTCCCCCAGGCCAGATCTAAAAACAGGGCTGAGAGCTGAACACTGTCCTGCTCTACCTAGCCAGCCAGCCAGGCAGGAAACGTCACTCCACAACTCCATTCTCTATTAGTCTGTCCAAAGGGCTCAGCCCTGCATCAAAGCACACTGGCTGTAGTTGACAAGGGGGAGTTGAATACATGAAAGAAATGTACAGCAGTGCAGCCAGAAGAGCAGTAAAATTGACTCATATTAATCACAATGGTGTTGGCATCCTGACAAAGGGAGGTGAGATGAGACAGCTTCACCAGCTGTTCTCTCTGCTCTGGGTTTGACCCCTGTTTGTCATCCAGCCTGATGTTCTGCCTCGTGTCTCTGTGTGTTTATTTGTGTCCTGTAGCTAAGTGTTTTAGTGTTGTAGTTATGCGTGTATGTTTCATTTCTGGGAGAGTGCAGGTATTTCTCCAAAGGGATCTTAGAGCTCTTTGAAGGCCTGTCAGCACCCTTTGTTGTTGATGAGGAGGGGTGTGACAGACTCAAATTGTGACGTTGGTGTGTGGGTGTGTGTGTGTTGGGGGCAAGACCACTAGTGTGCTGGTTCACACACACACACACACACACATACACGCTCATGTGACAGCTGACAGCTGGCAAACCTCAAGAGGCCACACTCAAGGACTTGTCAGCCCAGGCCCAAACATGACATGAATAAGACTCTCAATGCCCAAACATCCACCCACTTACAGACTTTCTGTAGACTCTCTCTCTATCCAATGGCCAATGCTAATACACAGCAAAAAGTCCAGTGTTGAATTAACTCCCACAGAGTTGATTTCAACACTTTTTGAGGGTTTATATAGGTCCAGACTCTCCAGAGTTAAATTAACACTTTCAAAATAGTTAAACATTTAACACTCTGCCAGAGTTCCTTTTTTAACTCACAAAACAGAGTTAAAGTAACACTAAGGGATTAGACAACTAACACTGCTCCAAGTTAATTTTTTAAAACTATTCGTGTAGTGTTAATTTCACTCCCTAAAGTGTCAATTATCTACACTGAAAAAATGTAAAAATGTATTGTTAATTTATTCAATATTATTTATTAATTAATTTAATATATACTTATATTAATAAGAATTAATCACAATAAACAATAATTGTCAAAAACATTTATTTGTGCCTTTTCTCCCTTGCAGTCAGTTGAATTAAAACATTGTGAATGAAGGTATAATGTACATACTTTAATCTGAAACATTGTATGAGTTTTGAATATCAAACGGTTTATGAAATTTAAGCTCAGACATTTTTAGTAGACATCTTTCCGCACTTCGTAATACTCTGAATGCATGATGATGGTCATCAAAATTCTCTATAAATAGCTAGTTTGTCAAAAAAATAATTTGATCTTCAACCAAAGGTACATCACTTATTTGACAAAAGACTGGCATGTCTTCTTCCATTGCACTGCAAATAACTAGTCCAGCTTTATACTCTACACCATCAACTTTAACCCAACTAGTTGAGAAAACATATTTTGATAAGATCGTTTCAAGCATTTCATTGTTGACGACATTCTCATCTCTGAAGAGAAAATATTTAATTGGCCCATACTCATTTTGTTTGAGGGTGACGGGTTTCCCAGTGATAAGCAATGGCCATCTAATGCTTTTTAGCAAGCGATTTGGTTATGTTTTTGAAAATGTTAAAACAATCTTTAAACAGCTTGTGTTTGGCCTCAAACCTCATACACCACGTATATAATAAGGGGCCAATTTTCCTTATAGAAGATGGGTAATGGATCATAAAATGATGCTTAGGTATCAAGTTTCTATGTGGATACAAGTGCTTAAATAGTTTGTGGTGGTCAACAATCAAATGCTTTAAATATATTGTCATACCTAGAGTGAGAGAAGGTGAAAAAACTATGTTCATTATTTGAAGTAACAACAATAACAAATTCCAGTTTTTGTTTCCTGCAGGAATAATGTCACCAAACAAACAGTGGGATGTTTTTCACAAGACACAATGTCTGAATAGAATTAAAATCAATGCCATTGCCAACACTCTCCAAAATAACCTTTGTAGGACGATTCTTTCGTTCTAAAAATCCATAATCAAAACCATAAATCTTGGAAAGCAAGTCCTGTTCTGACAAAGTGTTGTGTGAGATATCCAAAAAGCAATTTGATCTCATACTGAACCACACCCTCAAGAAGATCATGCATGATATCAAATTAAGAGTTATTACAAACATGGAAATACTTCAATGAATTAAGTGTAGATCTTTTTTTCAAACCATAAAGTGACTTCAATTGTGGGTTTTCCTGGAGAGACTGGCAATGCATTTCAAACATGTCTTTTCCACGAAGGATCACATTAGGATCATCCTCACTGTATACCGTTTGACAATCATTCTTCTCAATCAAACAAAGGCGACAGAAACTACTGAATGACTCATTAAAACCAAGAATTGTGTGCATCCCTAGATTATCTCCAGTGATCTGACAGATTGTACCATATACAGTGGGGAAAAAAAGTATTTAGTCAGCCACCAATTGTGCAAGTTCTCCCACTTAAAAAGATGAGAGAGGCCTGTAATTTTCATCATAGTTACACGTCAACTATGACAGACAAATTGAGAAATAAAAATCCAGAAAATCACATTGTAGGATTTTTAATGAATTTATTTGCAAATTATAGTGGAAAATAAGTATTTGGTCACCTACAAACAAGCAAGATTTCTGGCTCTCACAGACCTGTAACTTCTTCTTTAAGAGGCTCCTCTGTCCTCCACTCGTTATCTGTATTAATGGAACCTGTTTGAACTTGTTATCAGTATAAAAGACACCTGTCCACAACCTCAAACAGTCACACTCCAAACTCCACTATGGCCAAGACCAAAGAGCTGTCAAAGGACACCAGAAACAAAATTGTAGACCTGTACCAGGCTGGGAAGACTGAATCTGCAATAGGTAAGCAGCTTGGTTTGAAGAAATCAACTGTGGGAGCAATTATTAGGAAATGGAAGACATACAAGACCACTGATAATCTCCCTCGATCTGGGGCTCCACGCAAGATCTCACCCCGTGGGGTCAAAATGATCACAAGAACGGTGAGCAAAAATCCCAGAACCACACGGGGGGACCTAGTGAATGACATGCAGAGAGCTGGGACCAAAGTAACAAAGCCTACCATCAGTAACACACTACGCCGCCAGGGACTCAAATCCTGCAGTGCCAGACGTGTCCAGTACATGTCCAGGCCCGTCTGAAGTTTGCTAGAGTGCATTTGGATGATCCAGAAGAGGATTGGGAGAATGTCATATGGTCAGATGAAACCAAAATATAACTTTTTGGTAAAAACTCAACTCGTCGTGTTTGGAGGACAAAGAATGCTGAGTTGCATCCAAAGAACACCATACCTACTGTGAAGCATGGGGGTGGAAACATCATGCTTTGGGGCTGTTTTTCTGCAAAGGGACCAGGACCACTGATCCGTGTAAAGGAAAGAATGAATGGGGCCATGTATCGTCAGATTTTGAGTGAAAACCTCCTTCCATCAGCAAGGGCATTGAAGATGAAACATGGCTGGGTCTTTCAGCATGAAAATGATCTCAAACACACTGCCCGGGCAATGAGGGAGTGGCTTCGTAAGAGGCATTTCAAGGTCCTGGAGTGGCCTAGCCAGTCTCCAGATCTCAACCCCATAGAAAATCTTTGGAGGGAGTTGAAAGTCCGTGTTGCCCAGCGACAGCCCCAAAACATCACTGCTCTAGAGGAGATCTGCATGGAGGAATAGGCCAAAATACCAGCAACAATGTGTGAAAACCTTGTGAAGACTTACAGAAAACGTTTGACCTGTGTCATTGCCAACAAAGGGTATATAACAAAGTATTGAGAAACTTTTGTTATTGACCAAATACTTATTTTCCACCATAATTTGCAAATAAATTCATTAAAAATCCTACAATGTGATTTTCTGGATTTTTTTTCTCAATTTGTCTGTCATAGTTGACGTGTACCTATGATGAAAATTACAGGCCTCTCTCATCTTTTTAAGTGGGAGAACTTGCACAATTGGTGGCTGACTAAATACTTTTTTCCCCCACTGTACCTGCTCATCTGAAAAAAGAAGACTTAGCCCTTGGCTTTCTAGTTTTTTCAAATCATTTATCAACGGTTCTAGTATAACATCAAAACCATACTTGTGCAGATCTTGTGTGTGAAAAAGTGTTACCAAATGAATGTTCATCAAAACCGAATTACATTTTTGGGGAAAGTTTCTTACAACAAAATAAAGAGAGCCAATTTTGTGAATTCCACGTTTGGAGCCAAGGGGATTGGCTGTTTCAAAATCATCATAGTATAGTTGGATTTGTAATGCATGTCTATTAGCTGTAAACAAAGGGTGGGTTTTAAAATAACTTCCATCAAAAAAGTCAGTATAAGTGTCAGGCTCTGATCTACACGCTTTCTTTAGCAAAACACAAATGTCTGGATTTCTGCACATTAACTTCAATGTTTCTAAAATCGGC